TGGAGAAGCTCAAAGTCGCTCAGCGTGCGATGGAGAGAGCTATGCTCGGGGTTTCTTTGCGCGACAAAATCCGAAATATGGAAATTCGCCAAAGAACAAGAGTTACCGACATAGCTCGCAAAATCTGCAGACTAAAGTGGCAATGGGCAGGCCACGTCGCTCGAAGGACTGACGGCAGATGGGCCAGGAAAGTCCTTGAGTGGAGACCACGGACCGGAAGACGAAGCGTGGGCAGGCCTCCCGCTAGGTGGACCGACGACATCGCCAGAGTTGCGGGGAGCCAGTGGATGCGGGTGGCGAGTTGTTGTTCGACGTGGAGGGCTAAGGGGGAGGCCTTTGTCCAACAGTGGACGTTTTCCGGCTGTTGATGACACACTCATACATTGTTTGATGAGTTAGTAGGTATTAGGTTACACTGTGAGGTACCAGAGCCAGTGATCTGACTGGTGATGACACTGTACACATATACCCCTTCAAATCACACAATAAAAAAGTACATTAAAATTAACAAGTTAATTAAACGAACTCAGAAATCACTTAAAAACATAAATCAAGAAAAGTGAACCTGAGTCTAAGAAAAGATAAAATTAATATAATTAGGGATCTTCAATCTTACACCAGTGAGCTTGACCGCTGTAGATTATTGTATGACTCAAACATAACGAGCCTTCATAATGATTTAATGACAAAGGAAGGTATGTTGAGGGAGATATTTGAGAAATACAAACATTCCCAACAACAGTTGAGTGAGCACCTGCTTGTGGCCTCTGAGCTGATGGATTTGGTGAAGAACAACGCAGAAAGCTATGAATCATTAACAAATAACCTAGAATGCAGTTGTGTGAATCGACCTCAGTTGCTACCTACTCAAGTTGCAATAAATACCCAACCAATTGATACACAAAATTATAAAACACATGTCTACAGTGATGAGTTAGGTTCTGAATTTGGCCAAATGCTGTATGGTCATCTTAATCAAAGTTTTATAAACAACAGTTACCACAACATGAGTTATAACAAAATTATTAAACAAATAACTCATGCAGATTTAAAGGAAGTCATACACGCTAGGTTTTGCATGATGGTTTTAGCCGTGCATGCATAACCGACCGGCAAGCCCTAGCGTGTATGTGATTAAATTGAAAAACTTGTGGCTTCGATCGACTTCTTACCTATTAGTGGATGGGTAATAAGATTCATCAGTACGTACCTATAATAATAGTAATTTTTTGCTTTTAAGTTTTTCCCTCTTACTTATTTTTGGTTTTTGAAGTCGGTTTTTTAAATGCAGTTGTATATTTTCCTATTTTATATTATCAAGTTCAATATTTTTCGTATTTCGTCAGGTTCTGAAACGTGGTAACATTGAGGAGATAATAAAGTTTGCACATAAAAAAAAGCTACTTATATTCGCGGACGAAGTGTATCAGGCCAACGTGTACGACAAGGACAGCAAGTTCTTCTCCTTCAAGAAGGTTGGTGTTACTCATTAGAACTAAGAACAGTACTGCAATAGCTCTTTATTGGCATTAGCAACACGTGAACTCGTTCTCAATTTAGTCACAAAGTGTGCAGGCATCTCGCCAACAGCAAAAATGTAGTTGTAGATACTAGATAATAGCGACGGACGGGTATGTTTTAATATGCTTGAAATATGCATGTGCAGGTGATGACGGAAATGAGTTCGCCGCACAACTGTGTGGAGCTGGCGTCGTTCATGTCGATCAGCAAGGGGTACACGGGGGAGTGCGGGCTGCGCGGCGGCTGGATGGAGCTCTGCAACCTGGACCCGGGCGTACAGGAAAACCTATACAAGGCCATGTCTGCCATGCTCTGTCCCCCCACTATCGGGCAGATCGTCGTTGATTGTGTTGTATGTTGTGATGAAAATTATTAATTGGTAGTTAGAAAAAAAAAACAATTTTAGATCCTCCTCCTATTGCGTCGTTGTTCGACCTCAATGCTGCGTGTCGTGATCTCCTTGACAATAATTTTCCCGCAGACTATCGTCGGAGTCCTGTTTTCGGCGATGTCAATTAAAAATAAATAAATAATAGTAAGTGCTTCCGAATAATAGAGGCCCAATGTTCGCAGTCCTCCTTTAACTCTTCTGGGTCGAGAGTGTCCATCCAGTGGGTGGATTGGCTGGTGCCGGTTGCTTAATATCAGGTCATGTCTGGTCCTTTGTTGACCTATACTATAAACATTGATGTGTGATACCTAAGAAAAAGTTTAAATGTGATACCTAAAAAAAGACTGACTGACTCACAGACATATCTATCAACGCAGAGCCCAAACCGCTGGACGGATCGGGTCGAGATTCGGCATTCTGGTAGATATTATGATGTAGGCATCCCCAAAGTAAGAATTGTGACAAATTCAACCCCTAAGGGGTTAAAATAGAGGATGAAAGTATAAATCTTTTTAGATTTTTGCCTGATTGAACTGAAATTAACAATTGGAGCTACTATGTTAAAGACGTACGCTTAAATGGAGTTTCGATACATTTAACTTCCATAGGGATAAAATAAGGGTTGATAGAGGATGTAGTATTAGTTTGAACCTATCAGAACCTAATGGAACGAATTTTAAATTAAGACACAAAAAATTGTTCTAAACGTTGATGATAGATTTAGAACCTAAACCAGTCTTCTAAACCACTGAATCCATTTAAACGAGGTACAGACACAGTTTGAGACTCGAGACTTCTATTACGGAAATCCAACGGGAAATATGTGTTAAAATCCCGGAACTTTCTATCTTTTGAACCATTGAATCTATTTGAGTTAAACTCGGTAAAACGATAGTTTGAGACCTGAGACGTTTCTCATAAAAACCATCATACATCGTTATGTATGATGGTTTTTATCGCGGAAACCCCACGGGAGCAAGAACTATACGAAGCCTCAGGACTCTATCTTTTAAACCACGAAACTTATTTTATAAGAGATTCGGTACGTCAATAGTCGATAGAATAGTTTTTATTAGTAAAACCTTACGGAAACTGACACTTTACTGGTGAAATCCCGACAGGAGTATTTAATTTTTGAAACCACGATAATAAACTAATTTCACAATAAATGTAACTTAGGCACTGAATCGATTCTGATGGCATTTGTTACAGCCGTAGATAGAATATACCTTGAAAAAGACTGATTCAAAAACCTAAATGACAATGATCAAATTTGTATGGAGCGTGGTGCCTTTTCATTTTTTCGCGGCAGTTAATCGGATGTGGAAAAACTGATTCAGAATAACATTAAAAACAAAAAAATATATTGGGTCTTATATCAATAACACAGTCCAAACCGAGTTAAATCAGTTCAAAGATGTGAAAATAGTGCTACATTATTCCTGTTATTTTGTTGATGGTGACCGTACCTACACAACGCATATTTCTTCATTTATTTGTCAGAAATATTTTATAATAAATGTTTATAAACGATTTCAAGGAATATAATAAAGCTTATTGTGGACTTTTTTACTTATCTTTTTTTTGTTTTCATTTTTTTTCTTGTTTTTTGTTACTACAGTGAATACTCTAGCTCCCGCCTGGTTGAGGCGGGAGGGATTGTCAGACTCGTACTGACTAAAAACCACCCTGTTCCTTCTCCTGCACGTCGAGTCGAAGCCCCGGTTACCCGTTAGGTTCTCCACGACCTAATCAACAGCTAGCATAAGATTCTGTACAAAGATATCGTTATTCAGTCACAAAGTGATGGATTATATTTCGACTGATCACATTATATGAAAAAATTTAAAGTTAGGAATTGTGACAAAAATATGAATAATTTGAATAACAAAACCAAAGTAAAATGTTTGACTCCAGCTCCTTTCAACGCTCATAACTCAGTCCAGAGTCCAGACTGAGATTTTCATATCTGAGGCCATAGACAATTTCGTTTGTAATGTCATTCCAGATAATATTTTCCATAAATCACCGACTGCCGCCAGAAAAAAGAAAGGCACCAATTTAATTAGTCAATACCCTTTTGCCAAGTCATTGTTCTACGCGGTGTATAATTAATTTGCTAAGGTTTTAACCAGGTGGATAAAGCCGCGGGCGGAAAACTGGTGATGAATAAATTAACAAATACACTATTTAGGATAACGTAAGTAAAAATGTCAGTACAGTCTACCTAGGAAGACTGATTTTATGAACATGTAGGTAACTTTCACTTTGGATGTTGGCAGGCGAAAACTCCTGCGTGTGGCGAGCCATCGTACGAATTGTGGAACCAGGAAAAATGTGCCATTCTGGACTCATTGAAAGAGCGATCCGTAATGATCGTGAAAGCCTTCAACAGCATGAAAGGTTTCAAGTGTAACATGGTGCAGGTGAGCGAAAGTGACGGCTCTCGCAGGCTCGCAGGTTGCACGGTCAGTGTGCTTATGATATTAATGTATCAACAGGGTGCAATGTACGCTTTCCCGCGTATCGAGCTACCGGAAAAGGCGATAGCGGCAGCTAAGGCAGAAGGGAAATCACCAGACGTGTTCTATGCCTTCAAACTCTTGGAGCAATCTGGTAAGTAATACTCAAAGTGCGAGACGGGGACTGCGAGGAATCAGATGCCCGCGTTTATTTATTTATCTATCAAGGGCAACAAGCAGCAGTATATTATATATAACACGTGAATGAACAAAATACACTGAAAGACTACAAGATTTAACAAATACACTCCTCACGACGTTGTCACAGATTACCACAAATCTACTTAGCAATAAAAATGGGGCAAACTTAGCATACATTTAAATTACGGAATTACTTGGGATTACATTGTTTGCTACACAGTGAAGTGAAGTGTGACACAGTGTGCGTTACGTGTTACGGCGTGCTTGCAGGTATCTGCATAGTCCCCGGCTCCGGCTTCGGCCAGCGTCCTGGCACCTACCACTTCCGCACTACCATACTGCCGCAGAAGCCACTCCTCAAGGAGATGCTGAACATTTTCCAAAATTTCCATAAAAAGTTTGCCGAACAGTACGCGTAATGACCAGTCCTCATTTACTGTGTAATACCTAGGTGCTGACTGGTTTGCAACAACTTTATCGAAAATGCCGCCGGCTTATTCATGTAGATAACTGAGATAAGCTAAAAAGGGCTTGTAACTACTCGCACACAATAAATCAAGTGATGGACCCAGCCTGGCACTAGAAACGAATGGCGAATATACCTAAGTATGTTTATATTTGTATACTGTATGGTTGTACAGGCGACGGTGGACAGTCTGAGTGCGAGCGCGCCGTCGTACCTTGTATCGTGCGCGTATACTCAGGGTTTATCAAATTTTAATTCATCAAATGTTTACTTGTAAGCTTTGTGCAGCCCATGTTAGTTACGGGGTTAAGTGCACTGTCTGCGAGGGCATTTTCTTTTTCCCTGCTCTGGCATTACCTCTGCGGAGGCTGTGCAGCCAGCCCCTGAGCCTCCGCTAAATCCACGTCATCTTCAGATTCAGGCACCGTTCTATTAGAGCTAAAGAGATTATCCAGCAAAAAGAAACCATTGTCGGGATTAATGGAGGACTTGAAAGCCATAAAAGCAGAACTGTCAGCGTTAAAATCTATAAGAAATGAGTTTTCAGATATTAAAATATTCATTACGGACCTCAAAGCTTAGATGGAATTTGTACACAATTCTTGTTGAGCTCACAAGCAAGGTGTCGGGCTTAAAAGAAAAAAACTAATGAAATGCGCCGCCGCCGCAAGTAGAAGTAAGTGTGAGCTGGTGTTTGCAGAGGGCGCGTTGGGCGCGCAAACTCGAGTATGTAGCCAGTAGCTGCGCGACAATCACCGCGTCGTATGTCGCGCATTGCTGCTCATGAAAATGAGCCTCTAGTATGGCTTGAAACTAGTCGAGTTCCTCATCAAGCAGTTACGTGAGTAAGCCGAAAACGATAATAATTAAGGATGTCTTCCTATAAATATCTAATTATCTCATTACGTCAATCGACAAGCACCTCAACTGGAAAGGCACATTGAAGCACTGTGTCAGAAAATGAGTAGTTCCTCGTTCCATACACTTAATAGATAGATATTATTATATAACTGACAGTTGTGAGTCATACTGCTAAAATCATAAAATTGTAACACTCCCACCCATGTATATTTGTATATCTATGAAGCTGCTCTATGCGTTCAGTTAAATTTACTCTTGCTTTTTCATAATATCTGACAGTGTGAAACGTACAGTAACCAACCCGCTGTTTTCACTGTAGAATCTGAAATTTAAAAATGTATTCAACGTTCTCATTGTTATTTATTCAACGATATTCCCATTCATGTATTAAGGTAAAGTGTTGAGTACAGGCGAAATGAAAGGTTGTTTTGTCGAAAACGTAAAACTGCTACGTGGAAAAGTATGTTCTGCCGAGACCCTCCACTTAACAATATGGTTAAAATGTAAATCAAAGTAGTCGTTTATTTTGATTTACAAATTAACTTTTGTAGTGCTATAAATATTCCTATTAATTTAAATGATTACTCGAAAGATCTGAAATCTTGGTTGACATGTATTCTATTATATTTTCACGTTTTATTATTTGTACTAAGTTTTTTTTATCTTTACATGATTTTATTGTTTTATTCTTCTTGACACCTTATTGTGTGACATTAAATTTAAATATGTCATTATTTTCTTTTTATTTTGTTATCCTAATTGAATTGTTCATTCTTAAATATTGAATTATATAGATATATATTATACCTCGTGTGTTCATAAGTTTTGAGACAAGTTAAAAGTTGCATATCTTTTTAAATAATAAACTTATATTTATAAAAACAATAACAAACATTAAGTAGATAGTAAGTAAAAATTAAATATAATTATTATTCAAAATGACCACCCCTGTTTTTAATACATGCCCTTAGACGATTTGGCCAGTCATCAATGGCGGCACGAATCTTTTCCAGAGGAATTCGCTTCGCTTCTCGGACAAGAGCTCGCTTAAGTGACTCCAAGTTTGGGTGGGACTTTCGGCAGGCTCTGAGCTCTAATTCGGTCCATAGAGAATAATCCAGCGGGTTGAGGTCGGGGCTGGAGGAGGGCCATTCGTTCGCCGCAATGAAGGCCGGCACATTTTCCTTCAGCCAAGCTTGGGTGGTTTTAGCCTTATGGGATGGCGCCGAGTCTTGCTGGAAAACCCAATACTTGTTATGGAATAGGGTATTAGACAGGGGTTTCACAACAGTCTCTAGAATGTCACTTTGATAATTTTTGGCTTTCACCTTGACGCCTTGTTGGCAGAAATGAAGCTGAGTGACACCTTCGTACGAAACTCCCCACCATACCATGACACTAGCCGGATGATGAGTACGCGAGACATTCCGTGCTGAAGGTGGGACATCCTTGCTACTTTTGGCATACACTTTATTGTTTTGTCGATTGAACTTTTCTTCGACGGTAAAGATTTTCTCGTCGGTGAAGAGTATCTTCCTCGCATCGTGTCTCCTAAGCAGTATTGGACAACGTTCGCGTCGCAATTGACGAAGGCGATCGTTTAAAAAGTGTACTTTTCTACGGCTATACGCCTTAACCTTGAGATCATATTTCAGTATTCTGTTGACTGAAACGCGCGAAATATTGGTCTGCAGAGCGAGTTTCTTCTGAGTGCGACATGGATTTCGGCGAAGTCGCTCTCGGATGATTTTAATGTTCGCAGGCGTCCTCACAGAGCGTGGACGACCACTTCTTTGCCGATCATGTAAAGAACTTGTCTCCTGGTATCGTTTAATAGTGTAATACACGAAGTTACGGCTCACACCAAAACTTTTCAGCTCTCGGAAAATGTCCATAGGTTTTCTTCCCACCTTAAATAATGAAATGACGGTCGCACGTAATTCTTTTGTTCCCTCCATTACGAGAAAATTAAAATAAAATAATCCGAAATCATAGATATTAAAAGTTAACATTCCAAATTCAAAATTAGAAAAAGAAATATACAGCAGCCAGTAATTTTTATTTTATTTTTATAAGCAAAAAGTTTGTCTCAAAACTTATGATCACACGAGGTATAAGTAGCTAAAAGTAGTACGACATTCTGCGAGGTATGATAGCTGGGATTAATGCCTAACTATACAATAACACGCACGAAGCGCTTCGCTTCAAGCTTCCTTGTGCGTACTGCTAAAGAGTGGAATTCTTTGCCAGAGTCTGTATTTCCTGAAGGGTACAACCTGGGAGTCTTCAAGGCCCGAGTGAATAGGTTGCTTATGGGACGACGTGCTACATCGTAGACCGCATCAGCGCTTACCACCAGGCGAGATAGTGGTCAAACGTCGCCCCATCAAATATAAAAAAAAAACAAATATAATAATTAAATGTTCAGCATAACTGTACGGTTGTGTTTCAAAGTTATGCCACATTTCCGGAAATATCATAACATGACGCCTTTCATCCCCGAAGGAGTAGTCAGAGGTGTACATCATAGCACTTAGTGCCACTGTACCTACAACGTAACACCCTCTTTTCACTATTTATGTTATGAGTCCCATGTAATAGGGGGTGAGCCTATTGCCATATACCGTGCTACTATTGAGATTTTTTGAAAAAAAAATTAATACTTTGCCCGACCCGGGAATCGCACCCGAGACCTGTACATGAAGTTATTTTCAAATAGGTAATTACTGTATTCATTGGTACGTCTGTTTTATATCAGAGTAAGAGAGCGTTTAGGAAAAATACAATCATGTGTCATTTTTCATAGAGCAACTTCCTGGCCGCCCGACTTTAGCTGTAAAGTAGCGAAAAGAAATGTGCCTATGTGCCAGTTTTGTACAATAAGCGTGAACTACCTCGGTTCATGTTGATTCAGGAAAAGTACAATAATAGTACATTCTTATTACAGAAATACGGAAACGTAGCCCCTTAAATATTCAACAAAAAGCTAATTTTGTTGAATATTTAACTAAGCTATGTTTATCAAATACTACTGCGAGACTACCGATTTTTCAATTGTCAATTCGATCATCAGTCGTCAAATATTAAAAGTTATTCATCAGTTATCATTTATCTGGCGAGTCAAGAAAAATCGGTCCTAAGCCCTAAAGGGTACAGGGTGCTACAGTGGGAAACTAATTGAAAGCAGTTGTATTTTCATTATTAATTTATTTTTACACAATATTTTCATCAAGTAACCTCAGACGACTGTCTAGTAACTACAATAGTCCCGATATAAAAATATGTCCTCTCCTTATACGTAACATTGTAATATTTATAATATTGACACCTCTATACTTTTTACAATTTATCAATTCGAGATTTTGTCATAATAACAATATGTCGTGATATATTCACAATTCATTACATATGGTATGGTACATATTTATAATGTCTCCAATAGATACAATATATATATTACATTACAATTTATTTGGCCTATGACATGTACATCACAATGGAACGCTTGTACCTATTTACAACGCTTGGAGTGCCGCGGTCCGGGGTTCGGTTCCGGGTAAACAAAGTGATGGCGGAAACACTTGATCATTAAAACAACAGAAACATTATTTGACACATTTATGGCAAATCGTCAGAGTCCCACAAAATATATTTTTATGAATAATAGACAATTATAAAACACAACATAGTTATTTTACATACTTAGTCTTAAACCGAAATAAATAAATAATTCTCTAATATAGTGTATTGCTTATTGTCAAATCAATTTAAAAGCCTATTAATTGGCGCCCTGGGCCTTTGCCAACAACAATTCCTAGTTCCTTATTTATGTACTAATTTATTATTTATTACTAAGTCAACACAATTTATACAGACGTTAGGAATATAATCATAGTTCGGGCCTGCAACCAAATACAGATCTAACTTACTGTGAAACTTTAGTCTTTCGTCTCGAACGTATGGAATGTACAAGTTCTACGCTACGGTTTACAAATCTCTTCATATAATAACATACGTATCACGCTATGATATGGTTTATTTAGATTTAACACAATATATTTTAGTACAAAATGTAGATAAGTAACAGACAACTTAAGGAAAATACTGTCATAAGTACGACCAGAACTAGCTGGGACATCTTTGTATAGAAGAAGTAAACGGTCAAGTAACATGCATACATATATAGAACATTTCAATAAATTATAATTATTGGCTAAAACTAGAAGGACGGATAGAATTAGGGAAAGACAAAAATACTTAAAGAGAAGTGACGTCATCGCCGCACGCTGCGGCTCTGACTGACTCGGCTCAGTGCAGCCTACACGAAAACAAATTTAATATAAAACACTAACAAGTATTACATAATATCATTCATTTACAGTTTTTATTATATTTTATCTTTAACTGAAGGAATTTTGCTAAAAATTTTTGGGTAATATTTCGTGTTTTTTTTCAATAAGCATAAGTCGGTAAAATGCAACCGCTCATACTACTGTCCCACCGATCCACTCACCGAGGCGAGGCTCGAGCACACCGACTCGTGCTCGATGTCGCCCAAAGTCTCGAGTTATTTCACTAAAGATTTGGACAGGTCGGAGTAGAGGCGGGCGGGGCGCAACAGCAGGGCGGGGGCGCGGCGCGGGCCGCGC